GATGTTTTATTTGTCAAATCACAATCTAAAAAGCCAAATAAATGTGTAGTGACAAGTACAATATTCCCATTTTAGAAGTATAAAGGGGCAGAAAATGTGTTTTTTCTGCAGATATAGTGGAATCTTCACAATGCTGCTTCCTAGCTGTGTGTGGGAGCGGAGCTCACCCAAATAACTCTTTGTATTCTTTCAGTGTCTGCACCTGACCTTGCTACTCTGTATTGCAGGACGTCTATTTATTCAAAAGTCACAGCCACACAAATGAGCACAATAAGCTTATAATGTAATAATAAGAATCAGTCTTTCTAATGCTATATAAAAATAGCCTCCACACAGGCCCCCCTTGTGTAATTGGAAATATTTTCCAGCCCCCCCTAATCCGGTTCCCACTGAGATTGGTAGAATTAATTGTATATAGTTGTACAAACATTACATTTTCTCTGCTAATAATAATAAGACAAAAAGATCCAACTATAATTTTATATTTTATTATGGATTGAACATGAACAAAAGTGCTTGTATTGGCAGATGACCCTGTGCCACTGTGAAATAATGAGGCCTAATTGAAACAATTACAAGTACTGCTTATCGAGCCGGTTCTTTAACAGTATTTTTATAGGTTATTTTTGTACATTTTTAGGGGGAAACTAAACAAATTATAAACATAATTCACATTGATTAATTGTATATATAGTGTTGATTATGGGCTGCTAGCACACATACAATACCTGCAGTGGTGGTAGTAAGTAGATTTACTCAAGTATGTACTTATATTGAGGTACTTAAGTATTTCCACTTTTGCTTCTTTGTAATTCTGCTCCTCTACAGCTCAGAGGTAAATTATGTACTTTTACTACATGTATTTAATACCTTTAGTTACTTTACAGATCTGGATTAATATGAAATATAATCAACCCCTAAATCAGACTTTAGTTACACCTGGAGTAAATTCACAAGCTACCCTGCAGTATACTACTTTTACTTAAAGGTCCCATGTCATGCTTTTCCGGTTATTACCCGTCCCCTTGTGTGTTAAGAAGGTTTTTATGCATGTAAACGGTCTGCAGAGTCACAAACCCTCAAAGTACACCCTGTAGCGAGTAAAACTCTAACACAGAAAATACCTCCCCAAAACGCCTCGTTGGAGATTTCTCATTTTCCATTGTTTACTTCCTGGGTACTGTGACGTGGGGATACCCAGAGGCCACACCCTCTGCCAGCCTTTCACGAAACAAAGCTTCCCAAACCTTTCAGCGATTCATGCCGGATATGTACAGCGTAGGGCACTGAAGAACGATGCTGTTCCTACTTTGTTTGGACCAGCGGGAGATTCGGGTACACAACCTGTAAGTATTCATTGTTGTTTGTGTATTTATGATGTTTAAATCAAACAAGGTATCTACCACGACTGTTTAAATGGGTAAACGTTTTTAGGGCTACTACGTTGGGATCGCGGAGAAATGCTCTCCGCAGACCCATTCTCACAGCGTTATAAACCTTTTTCTTACTCAATATCAAGCCACACTTATTGTTTTTACTTCGGCTGTGAGTGTTTGTGTGTGCTCAGGATGAGTTTCGCTTGTTCTCCTGTATCGCCGACACGCCGACACGGAAAGCCTGTCTGCTCCTCGTAGCAGCTCACACAGCTGCGAGGAGCTGCGAGCAGCAACGAGCCTGTCAGCTTCTCGACCAATCAGAGCACACTGGGCTCACAGGGAGGGGGGGGGGGCAGGAGCTCCAACAAGCCGTTTAGGACAGAGAGTGAATACACATACAGAGATGCTGTATGAGAAACCAATGTGAGTTTGGAAAATTGCACAATATAAATCTATTCTAGTAGACCTCAACAATGGAATTATGATCAGTAGAAATTAGGGATGTTAAGATTGACCGATTCGCATCGGTGCACCGGCATAAACGTTCAAGATGCGAGTGCACCGGTTGAAAGAGTGCACATCGGCTACAGTTTGCGTTGAACTCGCGATGCATCGATTGTAGCGTCTTTGCATCGGTAAAAAAACGATTCATTCATATAACATCCTCTCATCCTGTCAGCACTCAGCAGAGACGATCTTTGATCTTTGCTTCGCACTACGGAGGCCGAGAGTCTCAGTTATCAACAAACATGGAAGTCGAGGAGAAAGAGAAACACAGCGCACCGAAAAATACCTACAAATCAAACGTTTGGCAACACTTCGGATTTTTCAAGAAAGACGGACAACTTGAAAGATCGCTCGCAAATTGTAAACGATGCTGTGCCGCTTTAAAGTACACAAGTAGTACGAGGAACTTAGCGACGCGCATAAAGAGGCGACATGGGGTCTGCGGCTGAAAAGAGAAACCTGAAAGTTAGACATATGAGTTAAATCACTCAGTGAGGTGTTATGTCAGAGAGAGTGGTGTTTAGTTTACAGCAGCCTGTGACTGCCAATAATAGTTTAAATGTCTTCCTTACAATTGTAAGCAGTTAGGAAATACCTGTTTGTGAAAGGTTATGATGGGATGCGCAGTACTAGTAGAGAGAACCAAATATGTAAAGCCATTTTTTGTTAATTTATGATTTGCTGCATATAAGGAATAAAACAAAAATCCTCTGTCGTACCATATTGAAGTATCATTATTTTGCATCGTGTTGAATCGCATCGTATCACCCGAATCGCATAATGTTGAATCAAATCGTATCGAACTGTATCGCAACAGGGGTGAATCGTATCGTATCGCATCGCCTGGTGTTTCAAATGTATCGTTAATGTATCGTATCGTTGACAACGTATCGAGATGCGCATCGCATCGGCCTCAGTGATGGAGATGCACATCCCTAGTAGAAATGGCCATGACATGGGATCTTTAAGTACTTGACCCCACCTTACACGTAATTGGGGCAACAGAACTCCGAGTTAAGGAAGTTGAAAACGGTGCATTTCTCCGTATGAATATGATGCTTTTTGGCCAGCTGATGGACAGATTGCTCGTGTTTCCGCGAAAATACTTATGGCAAACGAGCATTGACCACATCGAGCTCTGTAGATTAGATTGTCACTTTTGAACGCTATGTTCTCCACCGGCGGATCTCTGTGCACGGTGCTGCAGCGAGTCTGTGAGCGAGATGCCCCGCCCCCCACACAGACGAGAGAGAGAGACAGAGAAAGAGAGATCTCCGCACCGAACACGTTAGATGTCAAGGGAGCTACAGTATATAATGTTGGGTTCAGAATTCCAGAAAAGACAGACAACTTTTAAGTTTAACTATTTATTGTAAAGAGAGCAAAAGATATATATTACTTGGCCAAGGACTCATCACGTCTTTGGGAATCACAGGCAGCAAAGCTGTAATCTGTAACCACCAAATCCGTCAAGAGCCTCGAACCTCATGCGACAATACATTTTATTACGCCCGTACATTTTTGATTGGTCAAGACTAGCTGAAGAGATACCGCGGTTTAGACTTGGTTTTCTTTGGTTGGTGCGCAGACTCAGATAGGGTCTCTTGGCAACACAATCCTCCAATCAGCATTCGGCCGGCCTGTGGAAGTCCCTCCCTACTCTGGCACCATCATACTCATTTGTTTTCTCTAACGTTTCTTCAGATATAGCGGGAAACCATAATGTTGCTTCCTAGCTTCGCGGGAGAGCGCGGCTCCCATACAAAGTCAAGGCCGGTGCGATGTGCTGTTCTGACTACCTCTTTGTGTTCTCTCAGTCTCTGCACTCGACCTTGCTACTTTCAATATTGCAAGCTAAACACTTTCTCATGTAACTTTTCCCATCGTTCCTGTCCACCCCATCAAAACTGGGGGGGGGGGGGGGGGGGGGGGGGGGGGGGGGGGGGGGGGGGGGGGGGGGGGGGGGGGGGGGTGTGATTGGGTCCATGTATTCCTAAGTCACAGCACATACAATAAGCAAATAATGTAATAATAAGAATCAGTCTTTCTAATGTTATATAAAAATAGACTCCACAATAATATGCCTCACAGTGGCGAACCGTGTCTATCACAACTGGACCTTCTGTAGACACACACACCCCCCTCCGCCACCGCCTGAATCGCTGAATTGTCGTCTTGAAAAGGGTAGCCTAGTCACAAAAATTCCGCAACAACTTCATCTTCACCTGTTGCACTTGCCATTTCAACGTTAAAAACAATAAAACGGCATGAATTGCTTCGTCGCATTCATCTAGATCCTCTGTCTCGAGCCAGTGAACTAGCGGGCCTTCTAGAATACCCTGGAACCGAGGGAAACTCTGAAAGAATACGCCCATTGGCTGCAAATAAATATATGATTGGTTGATCAAACTGTCAGTCCAAAGGTACGCTCTCATTCAGCTCTCACGGCCAGGGCATTCTATCAAGGATATAGAATACCTTGGTTGAAGGATATTCTACCCAGAGACCCAGAACAAGATCTGATTGGTTGCTTTCTTTTCTAACACAAAACCACTGAAATGCGTAGTGCATGGTCCGAGAAGGACAAACAAATCAACGTAACACTGTAATATTACAGATCAACAACACAGATACGATTCTCATTTATTCATTTTATTACATTTTATTTATATAATTAAATCGAGTTTTTGTTTGTTTTATCTGAGTGTTCCAGGGTATTCTCTGAATACCTTGAAGGCCCTGACGGTTCGCCACTGATGCCTCATCATACTTTATTGCCACCAAAAGTAATAACATATATATGTATATATGATCATTGAATTAATTTAATTAATTTAATTCATTTCTTGTTTAACAGCTACTTACCTGCATATCATTTTAATTGTATCTTAAATTGTATTAATCTTGTGTGAACTGTACTGCTACTGTACTACTTTCGCTCTTACTCTGTTGCTGCTTAAACTCCTGAAATGTCCTCACAGGGATTAATAAAGGTCTTATCTTATTTTATCTTTCAGAGAGGAAAACGCAACAGGAGTGAGAGAAATCCAAACTAAACACAACCAGAGCAGGATGTGAATAACTTACAAAGAACAGTTCAAAGGATTAATGCTTTATTTTACTTCTGCGATTACATGTATTTACAATCAGTCTTCATTAGAAAAGTGAGTCATGGGGATTGAAAGTGAATTCTGAAGAAACGTTTCCCACTTCTCAGGAAGCCGTCCCAATCTAACTGCAAGGGTATAAAAGGGTGTTCAGAAAACATGGGTCTTCACTCAGAGGAGACACAGCACAGAGGAGAGGAAACCATTGCAACATCTCCTTTCACTACCATTCAAGGATGAATTATGCAATCCAGTGCATCGTTTTCCTGGCATGCATTATCACTTGCACTTCACTCCGTAAGTGTGTCAAATTATTATTATTATTATTATTATTATAGCATTTTAAGCTTTTTGTTGTATTTCTGCATTTATCCATCTTCACTTTTGTCCTGATTTTACAGATATTTTGAAATGCCGGTGTATAAAAACCAGCTCGTCCGTAAATATTTCCCTCATTGCTGATATCAAGGACCTCCCGCCTCGTCCCTACTGCAACAAGAGAGAAGTCATGTAGGTATCTATTTAAACATGAATACATTGCATTTCTTTAAAGTGTTGCTTTAAACTGTTTTACATTAAATCTTCCTCTACCTCCTACAGTGTTTACCTGAAAGATAAAAGATCAGTCTGTCTTGACCCTGAAGGAGCATTCACCCAAGCAGTCTTGCGAACAATTAAAAGGTAGGTTTTTGTTACTTTGTGCGCTGTCATTTTACCAAAATCAGGGAGGTCAGCAGTTACTTGTTATTGCTCCGTGAATCAGGACCAGTCTGTGTGTATGAAAGACAGAGGAAGTGGCATGTAATTAAACTTGGATGACTTCATTTTTCAGATAAGCATGATGGTCCATGAGACTGTTAAATTAATGGGAACATTAATTCTGATTTTTCCCTCCAGATTTCCCTCTTTTCGTTGCTGCAGAACTCTAAAAATAGAATAAAGAAAAACTACATTTGATTATAAGGGGGTCTGATGTAGTCGTAGCTTTTTTTATTAAGGAATGACAGGCTTAATACAGCGTTGAATTAAATGTGTCAAAGTATTATGAATAATCAACTTACAAGTAGACATTTGTTCATGTTGATGTGTAACAAGGCAAACAGTCTGGAAAACCACTCTTTTTTTAAAGGCTTACATTTTCAAATTGAACCAGGGGCGGTTCTAGGGGGGGGCAACAGGGGCCAGTGCCCCCGTAACACTGACCAGGGACCCCCCTGTGGCCCCCCTCCAAAAAAAAGGTTACAATATTACGATTTATTGGAACTAAATCAAATCAGAGACCCGGATGTACAGTGGAGATTAAACTGTTCATTACCTTATATAAAAGCAAAAACTGTTCATGTTTTGTAATTAAATTGTCACTTAAAGTTACTAAAACAAATACTCTAAATGAAAAAACGACAAACAAAGGACTGTAACTTCAATTTACTAAAACAAATACAAATGACTGTATTTTATGTTTATTTTACACAATTACTTTATACTGTCTTTGTCTTTTTAACCCGCTTTTATTGTGCCCCTCTCATGAAGTAACTGCCCCCCCCCCCCCCCCAGTAAAATTGGTCTAGAACCGCCACTGAATTGAACATGATGTGTTTTCTTTACAGGCAGAAAGCGATACGGGCCTTTAAGATGAACAAAACAACCGCACCACCAGCCCCAAAAGACCCCCCCACCAGCCCCAAAACAACCACAGCATCAACCACAGCATCAGTAGCGCCAACATGGTCATAATGCAAATGTGTTTTTCATCAATGCAATTCAACCAGTGTGTAAGAAGATCTGCACGGCACACCTTCTGAATATCCTCTCAGGCTGCTGCATCTGTTTAATACTCCTGCATGATGTCACTTATTTGTATCCAGATATGGTCAAATACTTGTCATTTTGTTGTATGCATATCACCGGGTGCCACTTTTCTGTTAGTTGTTTTTTCCAAACCTTTAATACAGTCTTTCAATTTGTACACACCAGAGCTGGCTATCATGACGGCTTTACATCACACTGTGAAGTTCAGTAATGACGTTTTATTAATAATGGTAAATGTGAATTGTTTTTCTTTGTGGTTCATATGTAAGGCCATTGTTTCTTATGAAATGTGAAGGATTGTCACTGTATGTTGTATATAATACAATAATAATGTACACTACTGACCCGTGTCATGTGATGAAGAGCTCTTAATCTTCAATAAATAATACAAATGTGAAATCTTGGCAAACACAGTGAATTACATTTTTATTTTTCTGTGTCGGTCTGTCTGTCTCTCTGGAACTTCACGTGGAAATCACAATTAATTAAGTAATTCATTACCTAAAGTATACAGTAAGCAATATAATAGTATTTATGTTATTCAGGTTGTTATTCCCACTATAAGGTTTTTGCCAAGTCATACTGTAATACATCGTTGTATTTCTGACAGTCATGTGTTGTTGAGGCTTGGCATGATGACCCACTGTTTTCCCACATCACTGACCCCAATGTCTGATAAAGACACATGCCTTCAATCATGAGGGAGCAACATTTCTCAAGTCTGCTTTGTCAGCGAAATATGATTTCAGCTGTTATGTTTGCCACTTATTATATTTACTGAACTTTGAGGAACAGAAACAGGAAGATCATATAATAGCAATTTCGATCTTCTGACAAATGGACTAAACTCAGAGAAATAAGACTTCAAACATAACTTTAACTTGTATTTTCAATGTTCATTAATCAGTTTAACCTGAAAACTCCTCTATTGATACAGATGGTAGTTAATGATTATATTTATTATATATTATCAAATTAATATATATTTCCCCGATGAGTGTTTTTGAGGCGGCACAGCTTGTAAAAAAGTCTTCTTGAAGTTATCAACGTTCATTTTACCCTCCATCTTTTAAAATGTTTATATTTTGATTGTGAATTTAGGCTAGATGTTAAACTTAATAAACATTGAGACAAATACCAGGTGATTGAATTGAAACGGCACCCGAAAGAGAAACCAAACTGAAATGTTAGTTTATTTTTATCGCTATGCACAGGATGACAACATTTGGGGAATTTTTAAACAGTACAATAATAATGTGTCAAAAACAAGAACTCCTCGAAACTACGACAACTTAAAGGTAGGGTAGGTAATTCACTTCAGAAACACTTTTTGTTATATTCCATGGAATGCTCTTAACATCCCGATAGCAATGAATATATTAAATGCTTTGACAATAAATACATAAAAAAATGTCATCTGTGGAAGCCGTGGCGCTGTAAAAAGCATGACCAATCATCTGAGCCGGCCCGGGTCAGATAAATGGATGGCCTACCTGCCTGTCAGCCTTCCATCTGTGCACAAACTTATCTCGTGCCCTCATTGGTCATGTGCGTGTTCGTGTGTGTTGGAGGAGGGGCTCTGTAAGGAAGTCTGAAGGAAGGGGCAGATTTTTTCCGGTTGTGTACTTTCAAATTCTAGCGCACTCGAGCTGGTTTCTCCATTCTTACCTACCCTACCTTTAAGGATCCATTATAATTTAAATTCAAAGTCGTTTTTCTGGCATTAATGAATGTTAATCAGATATTCTCTCGCTTGTTTGCACATTTTTGTTCCTGACCAAATCAAAAGGAAATACCTGCGTCTTTAGCGGCTAAACGCTCAACTCTGTTCACCAGCTAGTTGATATCTTTATCTGTCTGCCATTATCTGTGGCCCGGTTGCATACAGAGGTCTTCCCAAGCTTTTTGGCTAAAATGATGCTTACGAGAGCTGCGATAATGAACCAAAACTGTAGAATTATGTGCCTTAAAACCAACACAACAAGCTGAAAAAAACAAAAACGCTCAACAGAGCAGACGGAAACGGGTAAATTGGGTGATAATTCTCTGTGAATTTGCCATGAGTGACCCCTTTAACATCACACATAGTCATTTAATCTGCATCATAACACCAAACTGAATTGAGTAAACATATTGACAACAGTGTGAGAAGAGTCACTGAAAATCTTTTTCACATAGTGACTCTATTGTGCTGTACATAGAGGCTCAGAACAAGCCCAGAGAACCAAAAAACAACGTGCAGTAGCTGCGAGTCAAACTGTGATATGCGTACAGATATTTATTTGTTTATTATTTTATCGTTTCATATTTGAGTCGGAGGGAAAACACAGAGTTGCCTTATTTTTACAGAGAGAAATGAAGCCGTTCAGACAGACAACCTCCGTCTGAATGACTCGATTCTCGCCAGCCGCGAACACAACGTCTCTTAACCTCAACAGGGCCTCTTGTCTGTCCCTGAACTCACCATCCCATGACTGCCTTCTGCTGCACATGTGAATGCATCGAAGCGAAACCAACCTGCCCACACACACACATATACACATTTTTTCTCAATTTCCCACAGTTAAGAAAAGCACATGATCGATGTGTTGGAGGGGGGTATATATACATGTTGTCAGGCAGCTGTATGATATCAGTCTGAAGTGACAACCAACAGCTGCAAATACAAGATGAAGCTCTGCATCGTGCTCGTGTTCGGGACCCTGATTGTCCTCGCCTACGGTAAGACCACAATGTGTTTTAGCTTCTGTTTGACTTTTGCTGTGTTTAAATAACCTACTAAAAGAAATACTGCAGAAACTGACATGTTCCTTGCACAATACTGAAACAAATCAATTATTGAAGTTAAATCAGTGTATGGACATTTTAAAGCAATAATGGACTTACCTGTATCCTAAATGTTCCCTTGAGAAACATGGCAAAAGGTCCATTGTATTGCAATACAGTAAAATATTAAATAACTGTAGCTGTGTTTTTGCAGGTCAATTCATTGTTGATCACTTTTTGCAGCATTTAACATTATTTTTAACATTTTTTCCACATTTCAGACAACTATTGGATTCACTTGATTTCTCTGAAGTATGACTATCAACTTGCAGAGACTTAAAACTTTAAAGGAAACCTATCATGCTATATTTGAATGATATATTGTAGGGCCATACCTATATAAGGTATATTTATACGTTTCTGTTTTCAAAATACCAAACAGATCATGCATTTTAGCCATGCCTCATTTCGCTCTATGTGCTGTTTGCTGTCTACGGGTCTGATTCAGCTGACCACGCCCCCCTGCAAGAGAGGGGAGACGTGCTCTGATCAGCTGCTGGGCTGTCAGAAGAGGGGGAGAAAAAGAGATCTCCGTCCTCCGTGTTTTATTATATAGAGTCGTTATTCATTTGTTTTAAAGCTCAATAAATAACAAAGAAGACCTTTGACCGGCACTTTTCTAATTTTGTCCGGAAGATTTAAACTTTAACGGACATCTTGACCGGCGAAAGAAACTGAAACTGAAACTCTGCCGCACGGTCCCCTCGTTCCTTGGAAGAGGCGGAGAGGTGGGTGTTTGTCATCTGCTGGTGGACTAACCGGAGAGAATTACAGTGCTTGCCTCGACGGGGAGGGATTGCATTGAATTAAAGCAGCAGGAGCAAACGCTTGCCTCGGGGAGGGAGAAAGAAAGCCACAGCGGAGAATAAACAGAAGGGTAACCATGGTAACCAAGTCTTCTTCGCTGCTTTTGTGGCAGACTACAGCGCCACTTACAGGCCTGGCATATGTACTACAGCGTCTCCAGCGCTTTCGAACGGCAATGGCCGTGGCTGTCTCCTCCTGATAGGTGGAGAGTTGGCCCAATAACCGTAGCGCCACCGTCCTGACGTCAGGACAGTGTACAAATCTGGATCAGTTTTTATCAGATCCGTTGCAGCCCCTTTTTTAGAGATTTGGGTATGGAGGAAAATAGAGAGGGTTGTGTTTTCTGACACTTGGTGAGTTCCCTGGAACACCGGGGACACATATTCATGTATAAAAGACGTACAAAAGTGCATTTTGCATGATAGGTCCCCTTTAAATTGTCTAATCGTTGCATTATAATATATGTGCTGTTATCTAAAAAGCCTGTGTTAAGCAAGGCCAAAGCGTAACTAGATGAGTAAAAGTTAATTAAATGTATCAGCTAAATGTTCTTGAAGCATTAAAAGTAATAGTATAGTGTTTTCTTATTATATACTGAAGCATTTTATCTGTAAGAATAATTAAAATGCAGTTGGTCGAGGGGGAGCTCCACTTTTTTACTGTGTTATCTTTCCAAATCAGTTCTAGACCCATTTTATTTGGGGGGCCATGCTCAGGCTAGTTTATTTTATGAGGGGCACATTTTATGCGGGATAAAAGACACAAAAGACAGTGTTCAACATTATTATTATTATTATTATTTTTTTTTTGTTTTGTATAAAGTCAAAGCGCACAAGTGAAGCAAAGTAACATAATTGGTTTCAGTGGTTAAATTGTTATTCAATCACATTTTGAGAAACAAAATGCTTTCAAGTTAATTTTGGCTAGTTACAGCACAACGCTACCTCAAATTGTATTATCTTTATAAACTCTTCTTTTGGAGGGGGGCCACAGGTGGGTCAAAGCTCATTGTTACAGGGGCACTGGCCATCAATATAAAGTGAAAAGTACAATATTTGCCTCTGAGATATAGTGTAATAGAAGTATGAAGTACCACAAAACAAACAGTACTGCGGTTTTTAGCTTCAATCCGCCGCTGAAGGCCCCTCCAGACCAAAAGATGCATTCAAGATTTTGACTCATGTGTTTCCCATTTGTGTGACCCAGTAAACTTTTCATCATGACTTGGAGAATTTACGCTGTAGTGAACAGGAAGAGGACTAAAGGAGAAGATGGGGAAGTGAGCGTTGTAGCAATACAGAGGGAGTTGTAATGAAAGCTTTTAGAAAGTGGACCTGTCAGCATTTAATTATTTGGAGCACACACACATCAGGTCTAATGCAATCACAATGTCACAGTGACAAGTTCCCTGTAAAATAAAAGAAGGAAGGGGAGAGCCGTTTGATTGCGTGAATTATAGAAGTGCGTACTTTTGATCTCTGACGAATCTTTAAACAGCCTAACGAAACGATGGACTCAGACGTATGAGATTCTTATTTCCTTGGGATATGCAACACTGCATATTGTGCAAGACTGACAGGATTTCAACAACTGCTAAACTAATATTTCAACATTACAATGACTAAAAGCCTCGAAACGCTAGAAGTCATCTCCATGTTGTGACACATTATTGAACACACTTTACGGTAAAACATGACTAAATGTCTTTTGATGACAGGTATGCCACCGATCAGCAGAGACTACAACACTCACTGCCGGTGCGTTCA